AGGAGTTTTCCCATCTTTCTCCTTTGGATCAGCTGGTGGATTCAAACTGAGGGTATCTGGGTTGACAGGACAACTGCTTACCCACATCCCTATCCCAGGAAAATGAAGCTAAAACACTAAGAATTAGAGTATTATTGTTGTTTTAGGCATAGTTGAGTTTGTTGTGCAGCACAAAATAAAAATAAACACCTCCAGTCCTGTGCTATCCTTACAATTGCTGTCATGCTTAAGCTTATTATTAGAGTCAAAGCCTAAGTGTTTGCTATGGAGTTGAAACCAACTCCTATCTGATCCTCCAGGGAGTTTTCAGTGGTGTAAATTGCATGGGAAGAGATCACCCCATCTGTTTCCAAAGGGACTCAGATGGATTTCAATGACCAGGGATGTGGAGCCTCAGGGTTAGCAGCACAACTCCTTCCGCTCTATGGATCCAGAGATGTGCATAGTTAGGCTGTTGATCTTATTACAGTGCTGTTCTTAGGTGCTTCCAAGTTCAATATCATTCATAGCAACCCTTTTGAATAATAGTTCTGACCCCTTGCCTATCCTGTGCCATCAACTAATCTGTAATACACTTGGACCCATTGCCACATTCACACATATCGACCTCATTGAGAGACTTTCTCTCCTTTTCTGACCTTTCTAAGTATGATGTCCATCTCCTTCAAATAGCCTTTCCTAGTAACATGCCCAAAGTATGTGAGATGAAGCTTTGTTCTCTTACTTCCAATGTTCGCTGTATCTGCACTTTATCCAAGACATATCTGTTCAATCTTTTGACAGTCCAAATGTTCAACACTCTTCTCCAACATCACAGTTCAAAGGTTTTAATTGTTTTTCTGTCATCCTCATAGATTGTCCAGTTTTCAGATGCATAACAAGTGATTTGAAAAACCATGGCTTGAATCAGACCCATCTTATTCTTCAAATTGACATCATTGCTCCTTAGTAATTTAAAGAGATCCCTGACAGCCAGTGTGTCTCATGTAATACGTGTTCGAATTTCCTGATTTCTAGTCCCAAGGGTGTTCATGGTGAGCCACGTAAGATGAATTAATTGACAACTCATTTTTTCTCCATCTATCAATGTTGATTATTGGTGTGGTGGTTAGGAATTTTGTTTTATGATGTTGAAATACAATCTATATCTAAGGCTGTAGTCTTTGATCTTCTGCATCAAGTAGTTCAGGTCCTCCTTCATTTTCACAAGCAATGTTGTGTATCTACATAACAGATGTTGTTGATGAATCTTCCTCCAGTTCTGATCCCCCTTTATTCTTCATAGAGCACAGCTTTTGGAATTATTTGTTCAGCGTACATACTGAATAGATATGAAGAAAGATATAATCCTTACAATCACCTTTCTTATATAAGCCATCCAGTGTTTCCTTGCTCCATGTGAACAACAGCTTCTTGGTCTAGGTATAGTTTTCATGTGAGCAAAATTGTAAGTGTTCTGGAATTCTCATTCTCCAATATTAGTCACAATTAGTTAGACCAGAGAGGCAAATATTTTTGTATATTCAATTAAACACAAATAGCACTTTATGAGGAGGAGTGTGGCATCAAGATTGTTGGAAGACTCATTAGCAACCTACAATATGCAGATGACACAACCTTGCGTGTTGAAACTGAAGAAGGCCTGAAGCACTTGAGGTAAAAGGTCAAGGACTGTAGTCTCCAATATAGTTTGAAGCTCAACATCAAGAAGACAAAGATTCTCATCACTAGGTCAATAGGCACCATAATATTTGATGGAGAAGATTGAGGTTGTTATCAATTGCAGCTTTCTTGGATCCACAATCAAAACTCTTCTCCCCAGAAGTCATGAAATCAAAAGACAAATTGCATTGGGAAAATTGGCTGTGGTAGATCTCTCCAGAGTATAGAAGAGCAGGGACGTCAGTCTAGATACAAAGGTGCACCTAATCCAGGTCATGGTCTTCGCATTTATTTGTCATGCTTCTGAGAGCAGGACAATGACTAAGGATGACAGAAGAATAGATTCCTTCGAGTTGTCATACTATAGAAGAGTCTTGAACATCCCATGGACTGCTAAGAAAATGAATAGGTCTGTCTTGGAGAGGGTGAAAACAAGTATCACCTTGGAGACTAGGATGTTGAAGCTCTGTCTCACTTTGGGCATGTGGCCAGGAGAGAAGGGTCCACGGACAAGGACATCATGCTCAGCACTGGTGAGGGAGTTCCTCCCAGAGGAGATGGACTGATACAGTAACTAGGGTAATGGGGATTAGTGTGTCAGAATTAGTGAGTGGCTCAGGACAGATAAGCATTCAAAGCTGCTGTACATAAGGTTGCTATACATCAGAGCCGACTCAATGGCACATAACAACAATAACATACTATGACTTGCTTGGAAGCAGGAGTGCTATCCACTTCCTAAATAACATGGCTCTGGAAACTCTATGAACTTTGATAAATGTCATGAGGTCACTATGAGACATGCTTGACTCAAAGTTAATAATCAAGAACAACAACGTTTGTGCTATTAGAGTTGTGGTGTCAAAATCATTTCATTGTCTTTGACTTCCATCTCCAGGTTCAGTGCTCACCTGACCGGGAGAGATTCAAGTTGCAATTTATCTCAAAGAGCAACACTGTGTCTCTGGAGACTAAGGTGCATCTGATACAGGCCATGGTCTTTGCAATCACTTTGTTATGCATCAGATAGTTGGACAATGACTAGGGTGGATAGAAGGAGAATTGATGCCTTTGAGCTGTGGTGCTGGAGAAGAATACTGAATGTACCATGGACTGCCAAGAAAACAAAGAGATACGTCCTGGAGAGGGTTAAACCAGGCTACTCCTTGGAGGCAAGGATTCTGGGGCTTCATCTGAAATACTTTGGACATGTTGTAAGGAGGGACAGGTCCTTGGAGAGGGATATCATGCTTGGGAGGGTGGAGAGGGACTGTGCAGAAGGGGAAGCCCCTCTATGGGGTGGATTGATTCCGTGACTGGGGTAATCCGGATGGGAGTGTTAGAAATAGTGCGATTGGCACAGGGTAGAGCAGGGTTTAGGGCTGTTGTACATAGGGTCGCTATGAATCGCAAACTACTCAACGACACATAGCAACAACAACAATCTCCTTTACAGTCTACTTCTAGTTAGCAACTCTGCCTCCTCTGCCTCCCTAGGCTTTGGTTACTCCATTGTCTTTGTAGTCAACATTCCTGACAGTCTTTTGGCTTTGACTCCCACTACTATAATTCATGCCAAGTCTCATGCAAGGCTTGTTGGGAACAATCATAAAAAGATGTACTGAAGTTCCAACATGTAATAGGCTCTGAAAAGCCTAAGACATTTCTAAAATCTAACTCTGTAAACATAAGGGTATATTATTAGAAAATACCAGGGAGCTCTGGTGGCCTACTAGCAAGACTCTGCACTGCAGTTACTGAGGTATGTAGTTCAAATCCACCAGTTGCTCTGCTGGAAGAGAAGGGGTAAATCTCCTCCTGTACCAGTCAGATCTGATTTGACAGTACACACAAAAAGCAATAAAACAAAATTGGGACAAAAAAAAGAAAATACCACAAACTTAGTAGAGGCTCAGTCAGGTCAGGAAACACACACAGAATAGTCCAAGGATTCTTATCCAGGATGCTTTAAGATAACTCTGCCCTCTTAGAGATATGCAACCCTCTATCCATGTACCTAATGTCGGCTCCCCAGAACAAGCACTGTCAACTTTTAAGAGGGACGGTTTAAGATATGACGGTGGGAATGGGTCATTGTGCCAGAAAGCCATCTTTGAGGAGAATCAAGAACTATCTTCCCCAGCCTCTCCAGGGCAATGCTGACCCTTTAATCAGTCATCAAGTAGGATGTCACAGTCACCTTATCATCCATTTTTTTCTTATGAGGAGATCTTTGGAGGTCATGTAGCAAAGCCCAATTCAAGTTCATACATGGCATTTTTTCATTTGACTAACTGGGAAGTCAAAAATAGTTATGGTGAAATATTTGTGTGAAAAGACTTTGTCCTGATAGGAGTTCACTGCAGGGGTAGATGAGGGGCAGATGTCACAAAGACTTCTATTTCCATATTTGCTCCTCAGGGGAGCTCCTGCAGCTGTCTACAACACAGGCCCCAGGGGTCTCATCAGAGGAACCATTAGTGAGCAGGATGAGGTGGTGAAAAGAAGGTCAACATGTAGCTTATGAAGGGAGAGGTTGGAGCAAGTGGGAAAGATCAGAGAGGTACCACACTGGAGGATTTAGGCAGACAGTGGAGGTTGACAGCAGGTATAGATCAATTCATTTCATATGAACTGAGGGTTAAAGAGAATCCCACAACTGCTCACCTTCAATGCTCTTCTTGAGAAGCCAAAGCTCAACCTCAAGGGCCCCTCTTTCCAGCATTTCCCCTCAGCACCAGCCCTATCCTGACTCAAGAATTATAACAATGCCTTTCAGTTGTGCATGGTGAACCTGAAGAAAAAGATGGCTTCCTTTAAGGTGAGATTTAACACTAGCCTGGCCTGTCTCTGGGGCCAGGGATGTTTCAGGAATCTCTGGGATCTGAAGATTCTTGGTAGCAATAGGGGGATGCCTTCATTTGCTCTGCTGGAATAACAGGACTGGAATAGCCAAGCTGGGGAGTCACTCAGTCCTGTAGGAGCTCACCCGGGGTGAATCAGAAAAGCAGGGATTCTTCTCCATGATTCTCTGGGATTCTACGAATTTGAAAACAAGGTCTGTCCCCACAATCCATGTGTGTAATATGAGATGTCCAGAACAAGCACTATCAGGTTTTAGTAGAGTCAATTGAGACTTGAAGGGATGGGCATGTTATCAAGCAATAAGGATTGCATTCGGGAGAGTCCAGGAAAACTCACTTGTCCCAACAACTACAGGGCAAAGCTGATCCTACCTTCAATCATCAGGTAGGATGCACACTCCTCATATCTTCCATTTTTTTTTTCAAGAGGAGATAATTGGAGGTAATGAAGCACAACCTCATTCACGACCATACATGGTTCTTGTGTGGTTACTTTATGATGGCAACTGGATAGCAAGTGGTGGTTTCCTTGTGGAAGAAGATATTGTCCTGACAGCAGCTCATGTCCAGGAAAGGTGAGGTGTGGAACCTCCAAGGACTCTTCACATTCCTATCACACGGGGTAGCTACTTTATCTGGGTGTAACTCAGTCCCTAGAGTTCTCATCCTCAGAACCATTTGAGAGTGGATGAGGTGGTGAAAAGTGAGTCTACATGTTACCCATGATGTCAGAGAATGGGGCAAGTAGAAGAGGTTAAGGAAGGACCTCACTGGTTATTTCAGGCAGACAGTGGAGGTTGAGAGCAGGAATGGTCAAGCCATTTCATATGACCTGAGGGCAAAAGAGAATTCCACAACCACCTACAAGCTGCACAGAAATCAAAGGCTCAGCAAGCTCAAGATGAAGGGTCCCTCCCTCCAGCATTTCCCTCAGCAGCCGCCCTCCCCTCCCCAACCTGCTTTAGGGCTCCAGTACTGAGAACCTCTTCTATACTCTCTGCACAGCCCCAGGTATGTCATCCTGGGGGCCCATGATATTGATCGGCAAGAAAAGACATGGCAAATAATTCCTGTGAAAAAAGTGATCATGCACCCTAAGTTTAGCAATGCGACTGGTAGAAATGACATCACGATACTACAGGTGAGTCATACTCCTTGTTGTCCCTGCTCCATTGGATTCAAGAACTTTCTCCTTCCACCATGACCCCTGCCTTTCTCTTCCTGGCTGCTTCACTAATCCCAGGCCCTGAAGGAAGAACGGATAAAGTACAGCCCATCTGGGTCTGGAGGACAACAGGCTCTGAGTGACCAGGACTTTGTTGTTTCCTTCATCAGCTGAAGAAAAAGGCCCAACTGACTCCAGCTGTGGGCCTGCTCCCCCTGCCTGGAGAAAGTGACCAGGTGAGACCTGGGCAGATTTGCAGTGTGGCTGGCTGGGGACGGATCAATATAAATGACACAACAAACAAGCTGCATGAGGTGGATCTTATCATTCAAGAGCACTACCAGTGTGGACGCCTCTACCCAAATTATGACAGGATAACTCAGCTGTGCGTGGGAGACCCTCAGAAACAGATGTGTTCCTTTAAGGTGAGATTTAGCCTTAGCCTGGCCTTGCTCTGGGGAGAAGGATGTTTCAGGAAGAGATGGGATGTAAAGGTCCTTGCTAGCAATAGGGGGAATGCCTTCATCCACTTTTCTGTGATAACAAGAGTACCAAACTACCTAGTCACACAGGCCTCTGTGAGTTTCCCTGGGATAAGTCAGAAATGTGTTCCTCAAGAAAGATGAATTTGTCATGCCTTATTCTATCGCAAAGGGATAGGTTGCCTAGTGGTAAGAAACATCACTGTAGTCCCAAAGGTGATCCTCAGTAGAAAGACAGGAAATCTCCTCCTCTGCAATTCAACATCTCTAAAACATCACTGGAGAATCAGTTATGGGTCATTCACATTTGACAGCAAAACAATAACATGTCACCTCAAACATCCCTAAGGCACAAAGACTTTCCATTCAGCGTCTACCTTCAACATCTGTAGTTTGAACCTTCTCAAAGATGTTCCATAACCTTTTTAGGGAAGAAAGCCCAGTGAGCAGTTGGACTCTATAACATTTAGGATTACTATGAACTGAGGTGTCCAGAACTGGTTTGAATTTTTTTTCTTTTATTTAATGTGGGGGAAGCAGAGATCATTGCCCTGCCCACCTAGAGCACACATACAAGGAAAGCTCTCCCTCCACATTGAACAATCAAAACCACGTAAATACTCAAGAGCTGTCATCACCCTGCTCAATGTACTGTCTTCCATCAACCTCTGCCTTTCCCTAAACAGTAGCCTGGAAGCAAAGTTCCACAACTTCTTAGAAGGCAAGAGTCCTGAAGTTGGGGAAGGAGATAAATCACAACCTAGGCATGAAACAACAATTATGTCAAGCACCAGATTTTGACACCCTGGAAGCCTATAAACCCCACCCTTTTTATCCCATTGAGACAGTTTTCTCTCAGAATCTAGAGGGAGGCAGAAAAATTAACTCAGCCTTTCCTCTCTGTGTTCCCAGGGAGACTCTGGAGGCCCCTTGGTTTGCAGAAATGTGGCCCAGGGAATTGTCTCCTATGGAAGTGAAAAAGGAACTCCCCCACGTGTCTTCACCAAAATCTCCAGTTTCTTGCCCTGGATAAAGAAAACAATTAAAGGTCTCCACCTGGAAGAATCACACTGAGCCCCTCTATACTTGATTGTCTTAACGGCAAGAACCTGAATAAATGTGTCTTAACTGCAAGGAAATGATTGTGTATTCATTATTCACTTAGCTTTTTAGCAGACAGCAATTCTAGATAGGGGAGCTCTGGAGACCTAGTGGGTAAGGAGTTACAGTGCCAAACCAAATGTAGGCGGTTCGAATCTACCAAATGCCCCAATGAAGAAAGATGAACAATCACCTACAGTGCAATTTATACCCTCTGAAAACCCAGGGCAGGATCAGGTATGGGTGAGTTCTTTCTTGAAGGCAATGAGATTCTTTCCTTTTCCTTTTTTGCTTTGTTGGGCTTTTAATCCTCATTGAGGCAGACCTAGAACATAATCATGTTCTGAATCATATTCTTTTCCCTACTCTACATCCACAACTCATATGCAACGAATCAACCAGCTCTTTCTTATCTGTTGTTATCTCTCAGGCTTGCCCTTCTGCAGGGATAAGGCAGAACACCCTCAGTGGGAGACACAAGCCTCCCAGGTTCTATATGCAGATGAACTGTTCAGCTCTGCTTCCTGTGCTATGTGGCAGAGAGCAAGGGGTGGCCAGTGGGTTCAGAACGACAAGCTGGTCCATCCTAAGGCTCTGGGACAAACAGGAATAGAACATTTCTGCCTTATAATCAAGAAAACTGGCTTATTTGAAGGGTGAGGACTTTGAGAACTTCCTCACTACACTCTAGGATTTATATCCTTCCTTAGAGCTCCACAATCTATTCTCAACTCAAGGCCTAGTTCAGCATCTAATCTCTTGACTTCCTTTTCTCTTTCACGTCTGTTATTTCTGAGACTTCTCAAAGTCCAGCAGTTCCTTTCTCTTGCAGACCATGCTCTTCTGAGATGGACCCCTTTCAAGTTCCCACCTTCCCTAGGAACTCCAGTGGTTCCAATAGAGCTTACAACAGAGCAGCCAGCCTCAGTGACTATGGCAGAGAAGGACATTGGAGGAGCTGACACCCGGCAGGGTCCTGAGAGGACAGACTTGGTACAATAATGCTCTGGAAACCTGTGCTGTAATTCTTACTGGGCAGAACTAACTCAAACTCCTTCCAGTACTACATTCAGCCCACTAGCAGTCATAAACTCTGAGACCATTGGCCACTCTGTAACTCATTAGGCTGAGTTCCTTTGAGCTTCTCTTTCTTTGTCACAAGTGGCCTATAGGGTAATAATGCCGGATGATAACTCAACTCATTGAAGTAGAGTCTGAACCAACAAATATGACCAGGTGCTATGTCAGTCTTTGGGGCTAGATAGACGACCTTTGTGCAGTAGGATAATGAAACACAGCTTTTACCACCAATAAACCAGCAAGTACACACTGAACTCTACTAAATGCCAGCATAGAAATGAGCCTAACAGGTCTATCATCTGCACCCAAACAAAGTTGGGTTGGGTACTTTCAGTGGATTTGTCTACTGCCTGGCCCTTTCTTTAATGAGTCCATGTGGCCTAGATTGACACTGGACAGCTACAGAAAGAAAAGTACACTTTATTGCTGGCGACTCTTTCTATAAGTTGTCATATATGGCCCAAGAAGTAAAGTTTTAGGTTGGAAACAATTGTGGTTCCTAGAAACAAAGTTTCCCAGCTATGTTCACTAAAGCAACTTCATCTAGAAAAGAGGGGAAATACATAACTTCTTGTACAGATTCACTTTGTAGAAAAAGCACACTTAGATGTTGGCCTTGAAAGCATTAACATATGACCTTTAGCATCCATCCCATTGATATTGGGAGAAGCAAAATTATCATCATGACAGCAAGCTGTGATCTAAACGGAATTAACATCAATGACATCATTATAATTGTTGTTATTGTTGTGTGCCATAGAGTCACTTGCGACTCTTAGCAACCCTATGTACAAGAGCCCTAAACACAGTTCTATCCTGTGACAAACTCACCATCTCAGAAACACTCATTCCCACCACCACAACCACAGACTCGGTCATCTCATCGAGGGTCTTCCTCTCCTGCGCCGTCCCTCCACTCTCCCAAACATGATGTCCCTCTCCAACGAACAGTCCTTCCTTTCAACATGCCCAATGTATGCCCGACGAG